GCATTTACAGTTTGCAATGAAAAATGTTGCAATAGTGCAGAGGACATTTAAATATGCTGCTCGCATGCCGTACCTAAGGCCATATCTGTCTGTATATATATGTGTGTGTGTGTGTATGAGTCCAGCTGCGCCATGACAACTAACTGCTGAGCAGCTTCCGTTGCAGCAATGCCAACAGCCAGGCACCATTCAATGACTTCAGCTGCGCCCGTTGGTATGCAACATTTTTGTTCATAATTTCTAGACAAGCTCTGACTGCCTGCCTGCCTGCCTGCGTGTGTGTGTGTGTGCGTTCGTCTCTGTCTGTGTGAGAATAATAGCAGCGGCAGTGACATGCAAATGGAGCTACACGATACTTTGTGTCAAAGCAGCAACAACATGGGGACAAAATGCAGCAATCAGCCAAGAAAAATGTCTTCGGGTGTTGATGGGACCTACAACATTTACAACAACAACAACAACAGTCACAACAGCAACATTTATTACGGCAACTCTTTTAGTAGACAGACAGACATTCACATTTTCGTACACGCATGCCAAATGACATCATAAATTTCGCTTCAACTGTGTTTTCGCTTTCGCACAGCCCAAGTTACTTTCAAATGCGACTGTGTGGGTGTGGGAGTGGGTGGGCGTGGGCGGTTGATAAAGCGCCGTCCACGTGAACCGTAACAAAAATAGCAAAGCATTTATCAAATAATAAAATACAGCAACGAATCAATAGCAATATTTGCTCTGACCAAATATTGAAAGCTCTTAGACATTGAGCTGCCCAGATAGAAATTGAATTGTGATAATCTAATGGATTCTTTTGCTATTGGTAAATAAAATCATTTCCATAGTTTACACATATATATAAAAGAAATAAAAATAAATAAACAATTTCATCACATAGTAATTTTTATTACTCAAAAAATTATTGTCTTGAAATTACTGTCTTGAATTAATAAACTCATTAACAGATAAATGTTAAATAACATAGAGCTAGAGAGTAAAAAACATCAATTGCTTCTGAGTAAATCGAGACATTCAATTTAATATAATAAGTCCTATAGGAGAACAATAAATTAAATATTTTATTGTAAAAACTCGCTAGTTGCATAAAATAATAAACAAATATATGATACAAGCAATACCTGAACATCATTATATAGCTTATGTAGCTTCAGCTTTCGTTGTTTTTTCTAACAGATCCCTAACATCTATCAAAGAGAAGTCGTCTATACATAGTCTGCCTGTCAGCTGCAGGTAGGTAAGTTCCTTCGTAACGGGTGCTCTATAGCACATACTTCAATACATTGATGACTTGGCCCAACCTTTGCACAATATTGGCTTTGCTTTTACCGCATTGCATTTACTGCTGGCCATGGAAGACGGTAGCAGCCTAAAAGCGACGTGACACACAGCCCCGTCCGGTGGCCAAGGGATGACACTGGCACACCCATCGACACATCGTCCGTTGGCCATCGCACAGCACATGCACCATGGCTACAGGCCGCGAGTCTAGACCGGCAACGCACCTATGGGAATTATCACCTTGCAGTTGGTCTAGGAAAAAAACTGGCAACCACAGCAACCAGCCTAATTGGCAGCCGGCAGTTGCTAATGGAGCATGGGCAATGGTCAAACTAATTTCAACCAATTTGTTCACTAATACAACGTCTGTGGGCACAAATGCATCCCTGGAGGCTGGCGCAGGTCTGGCCAAACGGCATTGTAAAGGTAAAATAATGGAAGGTTAGTGGTTAGCAAAGCAACAAGAATTAAGGAAATTAAAAGAGATTGAATGCCTTTGAGAAAAATAATAGGGATAGATGTGGAAAAATACAGATCATATAGTGTATTTAAGCCTTTCTTTAACAACTGTGAAATATACATTAGTTTTCTTTGCATACTTAAAAGGGCAAACCGGAAAGTCTCTAATGCTATATAGATCTGAAAATCTTAGGTCTTTTAGAAAAATGTAATTTTTTTAAATAATTGAAGCTGTTTTAACATAACTCTGCCATATACATATATGCCATACCCAATGTACCTGTAATCACTGCAAATTCTCTTAAAAGAAAAGTTTCTAATGATACTTAAAGTTAAATACTTCGAGCTGACAATCTTATGTTTTCTATAACAATGGTTTTCTGAACAATGGAAATTCAGAAAATCGGCTAATTCGAGCAACTTTCATTCTCTTCCCTCAAGCATCAGAAAAGACGAAAACTTTTCAATAGCCGATCAGTATGAAAATGCTTTTTATTTGAGTTGAAAATGTTGCAAATGTTCTATAACATTTGGAATCATAACTTTGCATTTCATGCTGTGGGCGTTAAAGTATTTCTGTTTTATTTTCGTTTTTTTTTAGAATTTTGGCAGTTTTTTGTTCAAATGATTTTTCCGCTTTTCTTGTAAAATTGGAGCAAAGCTCTCAACTTTTTCAATGTGGCTGCTAGGAAACTAGATGTGGGTGGCATTGGCTGGACTCACAAATGAGGCCGAGCGCAAAGCACTAGAGCATTAAACATGTTTTGTTGATTGTTAATATCGTGAACAACATTTCTATTTGCTCATTGTGAGATCCCTTATATATTCACTTCAATTGAGGCACTATAGAAATAGTGCTTAGAAGTAAAATAAAAGTATTTTCAATTAAATATTCAATATATAATTGAATCAGTATTTTTAGATGGCAAAAACGTAGAGCATCTAATGTTGACCGAGTCAGAAATCTATTTCCAATCAATTCCTAATATGATACCTTTATTTCAATCAAAATTTTGAATTGTTTCGTTTTATGATACATTTCTCTCTTATCTCACCTAAACTGCGTTGCCTGGCCTGATAGATGCTGTTTGGATGTTGGGATGCCTGGATGCCTGGATGCCTGGTTGCGTGAATGCCTGTTCGTCGTTTCGTTAGCCGCACGAAATTCACCGTTTAGTTATGAAAACTCAAAATCGCAAGCAGCAGCAGCAACAACAACAACAACAAGGACAGCTTCTGTGGGGTAGTTGCCGGCGGGGGAAACAGCGTTTGATGCAGGTGCAGTTGGCGACGCTTTTGCGGCTATATTGCAGATGCGAATGCAAATGCAATTGCAATTGCTGTTGCTGTTGCAGTTGATGATGCCGTGGCAGCAATTCAGTTGCTGATGCTTGCGTTGGCGTTAATGACAAATTGCTGGCTCGGTGGTGGTCAATGGCACTGTGGAGGCACTCGGATGCATCCTTCGATCCTCTGCACTTTTAACATTGTTCGTTTGCTCGTTTCCGTTTCACATTTTGCTCGCTGCTGCTGCTACTGCGGCTGCGATGCTGCTGCATTTTTTGCGTAACTTGTGAGCTTTTTTCGCTTTTCTCGCTTTTGCACATTTCACAGTCAATTTCAACATTATTTGGCAGCCAGGGCCTCAAAAATAACGCGTTTCTGGCCAAAATTCCCTTTTAGTTTACCGATTTTTTTCTTTTAACTGCGTCCAATTGATTTTTGCGCGTGTATATGTGAATGCATGTAGGAACGGTTACGCGTGTGTGCGATTGTATGTTTTATGTTTGTTTGTGTGTGTGTGTGTGTGTGTTTCTTTTTCTATGTGTGAGCGCGTGATAATGTGTAAGTGGGAGCAGGCAACGGAATGCGTCCGAATGGCAGTGCGGAGCTTTTGCTTATGAGCCGCGTTTTACTACGAGCGCAATGCTTTTGGCCTGAATATGCGAATTTCCTGCGGTGCTCGTACGTTAAAAGAGCGCAGCTCAGCACGCATCTATATGTATATACATAGATGTGTGTGTGTGTGTGGGTTTGAATTTCAGTATAATAAAATATCCTGTTTGGGCAATGAGCGAACCAGTGAGCGTTTCAGCGAGTCGTTCCTATTGCGCATGCTCTACAAATTTGGAGCAAGTTGCCGCTGCTGGCAATTTGTGGGCGAGAGCGAGCAAAGACGATAACACTAGCCACCCACCCCACGGTAATCCACCACCATCAGAGTCGTAACCGTTCAAAGTCCCTTACGCTTAGCTCGTGTGGGTTTTTTTTCGCTTTACTTGGGGGCGGCTGACGGCTTTTTGTTTAGGGCACTTGTGGTTGTTGTTTTTAATAAAGCTATTTGCATCACTGCACTCGCGTTAGTTTTTTCTGTATTTATATTTGTGTTTTGTTGTTTGTTTTTTATTTCATTAATATATTTTTTGTTCTTTTTGCTTAGGTTTCAATAATTTGAATGATTGATTGATTGATGAGCGGCAATGACTCACTAAACTGAACGAACGAACTAAGTCCCTGATTGTCGTTCGTTACAATTCTCTAGCACAGTTTGTTTTATGTTATGTGTTTGGTATCTAAAAGTTTAACATTTTCCTACAATGTTATTGGCAGTGTGCCTGTATTTTATAATCATAGATTTTTAGATCTCCGAAATTGGAAAAACCATTTGAAATACCTGTACACTAAAAATATTGTTTTATATTATATTATTATATTATAGATATATGCAAGCTCATTTTGAATTTGAATATAATAGCTGCCGAATGGCTAAAGAGAACTAATTCAAAGGAATGCTAACAGAACTTCAACAGAAAGCTGTTCATTAACATTATTCGATTGATTTCATAGCAGCAACGCTTTTTCATAAATACCTGTATTAGGGATGATGTTAACAAACATGTGTTTCTTATTGTTATCGACCAGATCAGCTGTTTAAAATTATTTACGGCAACCGGTTGGGTATTTTGTACATCTGGTAGCTCTGCTGGAATATTAAGAACTTATCATTCACAGAAAAATACTAGCTTTACAGAACGACACTGCTGTTGTTACAAATTTAGCTTATGCTATTATTGTGGCCACTGTTAACTAAAATTTCCAACTGGACGGAGTTCAATATTAATATAAATTACTGTTTATTGCAAAATCAATATAGAAATTACAAATTTAAGGTAAATAAAGGCACATTTAAATTAGTATTTCTTTTTTCATTACAAATCATTGATGTTTACATTTATTTTCTTTATAAAAACCTTACGAAAATATTTCCGGTTGCAGTTGGCCTGAATTAAATGCAGACCATGTTTTTGCATAACAGGAGTCTATGCAAGCTGGCATGTAAGTAGTTTAGTGACCTCGGTGTAATATGAAATAAACTCTTAAAATTACAGGCAATGCCGCCAATTTCGCCACGAGTAACGTTCGTTTCAGCAGTCAAAAGGCGAAGACTGCAATCCTCATGCTGAACATGGGCGGACCACAGCACACGGATCAGGTTCATGACTATCTGCTACGGATCATGACGGATCGCGATATGATACAACTGCCCGTGCAGAGCCGGCTGGGTCCATGGATTGCGCAGCGTCGCACACCAGAGGTGCAAAAGAAGTACAAAGAAATTGGAGGCGGCTCACCCATATTGAAGTGGACTGAGCTGCAGGGTCGACTAATGTGCGAACAGCTGGATAAATTATCTCCAACAACGGCGCCGCACAAGCATTACGTCGGTTTTCGCTACGTTACTCCCTTGACGGAGGACACGCTCGCACAAATTGAAAGGTCAGTCAAGGGTCAATTAGGGAGGAAAATGCCAAAGACTTACATTGTATTTATATATCTATTTTTGTTGTCATAGTGACCAGCCGGAGCGCGTGGTGCTCTTCTCACAGTATCCGCAATACAGTTGCGCCACATCCGGCTCGAGCTTCAACTCCATCTTCACCCACTATCGAAACAAGTAAATGGTCATGGATCATCTGAAAATTAGGCAGTTAACCCAGTTTCCCATTCGCAGCACATTGCCCGAAAACATCAAGTGGAGCATTATCGATCGCTGGGGCACACATCCGTTGCTCATCAAGACCTTTGCTCAGAGAATTCGCGAGGAGCTGGCCAAATTTGTGGAGACGAAACGCAATGATGTCGTAATACTCTTTACAGCACACTCGCTGCCGCTCAAGGCAGTGAGTAGAGGGGATCCGTATCCCTCTGAAATCGGTGCTAGCGTGCACATGGTAATGCAGGAATTGGGTCAAAGCAATCCCTACAGCTTGGCCTGGCAATCAAAGGTGGGACCGTTGCCCTGGCTAGCTCCAGCGACGGATGATGCCATAAAGGTAAATCGCAATTATACTTCCGTGACAGTTACTAATGCCCAACTTAATTGCAGGGTTATGTCAAACAGGGTCTAAAGAACTTCATACTTGTGCCTATTGCCTTTGTGAACGAACATATCGAAACGCTCCACGAGCTGGACATCGAGTACTGTGACGAGCTGGCCAAAGAGGTGGGCGTGGAGGAAATACGTCGTGCTGCTGCGCCCAACGATCATCCGCTTTTTATAAATGCACTGAGCAACATTGTGGCCGATCATCTAAAGTCCGAGCAGTCGGTCAATCCCAAGTTCTTAATGCGCTGCCCCATGTGCACCAATAACCGCTGCCGTGAAAGCAAAAAATGGTATCAGCAGCTGTGCGCCCACTGAGTAATGTAAATTAATTGATATGAGATTCACATAATGCACCGGACAGTAATGCATTTCAAGTGATTTAGCTTCAAGCTATTATTGCAATTTTAATCAAGTTATCAATCGTTTCGCTTAAAAGCATTTCATTAAATGGGTTCCGGGTATTTCGGCTGTAATTGATTGCGAGTCCATTTGGGCAATAAAAAGACACTGCGTAAACAAAAACAACTGTTTTATTTTGATTTCTTTCGCTCACACTCTCTGTAACACATGCGCTCTCTGTCTACGCCGCTCTCACATATGGTCTGTCAAGCACAATGCACAAGTAACTCACTCTACGCGTCTCTTTGTGACGTCACAATTCAGAGAGCAGATGTGTCTCTAAAAACATTTGTAGTTATATACCAGATTTGTTCGAATTATTTACTTATATCTATATGTATGTATGTGCAATATATTAAAAATAAATTGACGGATGTTTTTCTAGCACACATATACTTAACAGTTGTGACGTCACATCGGTTCTCATTCATTTGAGTGTCGCACCACAGCCATGCACAATGCGCTACATTCTTGCTGCTTCAACGACGGTTAGTTTTGATCAGCTGTTTTCTTTTTTTTTTTTGTCACTATAGTCAGATTTCAAATTCTTTATTTATGGTGGGCACAGTAAAATGTAAATTCTAATGGCCGGCGGAGCTCTATTAGACCACACGCACCCTGCTGAAGCAGCGATTATCCGTGTTATTGGTTAGTTTCATAATTTATTTGCCGCACGACGAGTTGCATAACGGTACAACTTCGAATGCACTGCAGCGTCTCCGATTCCAAACAGAACAATCACAGAAATTCCAAGGAGTCGGCAAAATAATAATAGCAACAACAATATATCCAATAGAAATTGGATGCGGGAGAGGAACGCCGCCGGCTGCCAATCAGTCACTTATACAGTTATACAGAAACGCGAATGTATTTGAGCGCGCGCCAATTAAACCACGCTCCGAATTGGCTGGCAATTAAAGCTTTCTAATTTTTCTCTGATACTGACGAATCTACTATGTATACTACTCTGTTACAGCTGTGCCAGTGCCCAATCTAATGGATCAGATGTAGCATACACCGTGGTGTAATCTAATCTCAACATCAGCATATTGATCGTAAATTAATTAGTAAAGCCAGCTATATTTCTTGCGTATTTTTAACCCAACGCCATGACTGGAACTAACAATGTCGCCCATTCCGGAGCAGTATACGCGGTGCTCTCGACGCCAAACCACGCCGGAGCGGATAGCCACGATTTTGGCAGGTAAGAGTATTGTGTTTCTGCTTTTTAATATATTTAGTGTAATGAAAACCAGTTTTAAGCGATACACATGCATATATAGATATGTACATATATATTTATACATGTACACATGCATGTGTGTGCAAGGCTGAGCTCTGTTTAAAAATGTATATGTATGTATACATTTGTATATAGGGAGATAAATTGCCTTTCTCACAGTCATCTCATCTAAGTTTTGTTTATACCCAGCGTGACGTTGCATCCATAAAACAAATCAGTTCTTATCAGCGAATTTGAAATACGTGAATTTCCCAAGTAGGAACTCATCCACTTCAGTTTAAAAGCTGGAGACGCTCACGTTCCTTATATCACTGATTAGAGCTGATACGATTCTGTCGGCTTTCGAATGAACTTGTTATAAAATCGATTTATCACTAATTAAATAGAGCAATGTATGGGCATTAGTCGATATTAAAAATAATATATATAGAAATATATTTTATTAATATTAAGATGCTATTTTAACAGGGATCAACAATCTAGGCCAGGTATATAATAATTAAAACGATCGATATACATACATACATGCATAAATATGTATGAACATTCATTCACATTTAGTCAATATCGATTATAATTTTAATTGTATATGCATATGTACATATGTATACCAATGTATGTATGCTTGTATGTTTGCAGAAATGCCATACCTATTACGAAATAAGTTTATAATATTTCACCAGAGGTCAACAATCTGTTTTAGTTTTACCTGCTTTATATTCAAGTACACCAATATAAAAACGTCGCGTCAGTCTTATAAAAAGTATATACATAGATATGTACATATATTCACAAGTGTATAAATTTCTACCACAAAGCCATAAGTTTTCACTATCTCCAAGCTTAGCAAGCATGGAAAAGTGTCAATGGTAGCTGCAACGAAGTTTAAATACGCTTAATCTGAAATATGTTATATATGTAAATAATATATGTAGCGGCACTAATTGATGTCTCCTATATGAGTTATTTGAATCCTTTGAGCAGCTATGTAATTTATAATAATAATTACGAATAAACCATAGTCGTTAAGGCGTTAAGACCCTTGGCCTATCTGTAGATACCCTTTGCATTCCATGCATTTTGTAATTTATCAAATCGCAGCCCAGAGACCCACTGGCCCCATAGAGATACTATGTTGTAACCGCGTCTTATCTGAATAATTTACACACCATTCACAGATGCGCCACAGACGAGCCCAGTGAGTTGAGTGCTTTCTTCGACTGGCGCTTCATTAGCAAGAAGATGGAGCATAAAAGCGGCGGCGTCTTCAAGAATCGCAATTTGATTGTCGATCTGCTGGCCATATGCTTCGGCATCGGCACCTGGCTGGGCGTCAATGGCACCTTTATACAGCTACCGCTGCTGGTCAACGAGGCACCCGAGGGCTGGAGTCTGCCGTCCTATCTGAGCGTCATGGTGCAGATAGGCAATCTGGGACCGCTGCTCTACACTGTGTACCAGAAGTTCTCGCCGTGGAAACTCAATGATGGCTGGACCATTCATGCCGTCCTCATGATCGGCACACTGTCCTGCCTCTTCACCGCCTTTTTCTACAACCGCACGGCGAATCTGGCGGGCAGTGATCACAGCGTCGCTCTCTTTATACTGACCATCTTTACGGCACTCAACGCGTGCACCAGCTCGGTGCTCTTCATGCCCTACATGGGACGCTTCAAGGAGCAGTACATAATCACCTATTTCATTGGCGAGGGCCTCAGCGGCCTGCTGCCCAGCGTTACGGCTCTGGTGCAGGGCATCGGCGACAGCGGCAGCTGCATGCTGGTCAACGAGACGGAGACGGGCGAGCCCATCTATCAGAAAGTCACCGAACCGCCCTTGTTTGACACCAAGATATTCTTCTTGATATTATTTGCCTTGATGGTGCTCAGCTATATTGGCTATACACTGCTCAATCATCTGCCCCTGGCGCGGCGCGAATATGCCCAGGTCACGGTTGGCAAGGGCAACAAATATGAGTACGGGCAGGACGACAATCAGCCACAGGTACAGAAGCTTAGCTCTTGCCAGTACGTTGGCTTGCTCTTGCTCATAGGCGCAATTTCTCTGTTCAGCAACGGGATATTCCCTAGCATCAAATCCTATTCGAGTGCGCCGTATGGAACGCGCGCATATCATCTCTCTGAAACGCTGAGCGCTATAGCCAACCCGGTTGCCTGTTTTCTGGCCATGTTCCTATATGTGACATCCCTGCGCATCATCTATGTGCTCTCCGCGCTGGCTGCGCTGCTCACCAGCTATGTATTTACCACGGCGGTGCTGAGTCCATACCCACCGCTCTACGACGAGACCATTGGCACAGTATTGGTGGTATGCCTGCAGCACGTAAATTTAATCAAATCTTTCGATTGATATCCGCTCTATCTTGTGCTTGCAGGTGACCGCCTGGACGCTGCTAATCGGAGTGGTCAGCTACACCAAACTGGGCATTACAACAGTGATGCGTGGCCAGGGCGGCCAGTCGTTGGTTTGGGTGGGCGCCATCACCCAGCTGGGCTCGGCCATTGGCGCCATCTCCATATTCTTCGCCATCAACTATACGCGGTTCTTTCAGGCCGCCGAATCGGATTGCTGATATCCTCATTTAGATGATTTTATTGTAAATAAGATTACCTATTTATAGATGTAGAAACACTTTTATTTTTACGGGAGCCTTGTCACTTTGATTGGCAGATTTGAAACATTTACCACGTAATACAGAACTAAGTTTTTGATATATGATGTACGCATATGCAATTACAAATTTAGACAATAACTTTAAATGCATCACTCGAGTTTGTCATCCAGTTCATCGGTTATTGGATCCATTTCACTGTCGACGTCACCTTCGTAACCGGAATTCCAGTTGGAATTCGATGTCACTTTGACTTCCTCCGCAGACTCAACTTCCACGCTGCTGTCGTTGCTGAAACAGTGGGTAAAATTCTGAAGCAGATCCTGGCCAATCACCGAGGCCTTGTTGAACGCCTGTATCTTCTCCCGAAGACTGCGGCAATTGCTACTCCCTCCCGCTTGACTGCTCTCCGACGACGCCTGGCTCCCGTCGGGGCAACTTTGGGCCATCTGGTCCAACATGGACTCAACCTTCTCGAACGACTCCTTGGCGCGCTTGTAGCACATCAGGCTGTCGCGCAGCAATTGGCTCTCGTGCAGACGACGAAAGTCTGCAAGCAGATCACGCAGCTCGATCGCCTCGATTGAGTTGTTGTCTGCTGTGTTCATGTTCTCGAACTCCATAATTAGGCGTTTGATTTTAGTAGGCGGCTGCTCGGGCTCTGACTGCGTCAATCCCAACGTTGTGGCCACATCACTCATCTCCTTGACTAAACTCACTGACGTCTGGATTAGGTCAGTGTGCTGCTGTACGGTATGCTTAAGGCGTTCCCGCAGATTTCGCAGGTAAGTGCATATATGCTGCGTATTCTCTATATCAATTTCGAGCGGCAAAGCTTTAGGGGTCGAGGGAGTTTGTAATATGTATATATGTATGTAGGTTTTTTTTATATATTTGTCTAACTTCATACCAATTAGTTCTTTGTTTTCGAGGTTTTCCATTTAATGTTTGTTTTTCTGTCTCTTAATACAGGGAATTTCATTCGAAAAACATAAACATATAATTACTTATAATTTATATTATATTCGAAAAGAAACTGTGGGACTTTCATCAAATATATAATTTTAAAATAGTTAAAAAATCATAGCAACCACGATTTATATTTTAAAATTTTAAAACAACTCTGGTCTGAGTGGCTGAATGAATATTGGTATTCTCAATTAATTTGATTGACATTACAGTAATATACATACATACATACACATGTACATATTTATGTATGTATTTAGTGTATTTTGTTTTAGTATTTATAAGCATACATAACTTGCATAGCTAATGCTTTCAACAAAATTTTTACTTTTAAGCCAGTAAAGCGTCTCTGTGCTCTGAGAAATTGAATTTTGCTCTCTGGTTAGTGATTCAACGCATATTAGACGGGAAATCAAACTTCACGATTGCAGGGAAATTTGCCCAATTTGAAATTTGATAACAGTCGCGCTTCGTGCGTGTGCCTGGCACGCGCTCATCTCTAATTTACATTGAGCTCGGCGAACAGCTGTTTCGAGGCCTCTCGTATGCTTTCTGTTTTCATTTTGATTAAAGCATATTCCGATGATTAAACCAGTCGAGAGTCTCAGTCGTCGTCGTCGTCGTCGTGAGAAAATCGTTGCGGGAGTTGAGCATTGAAAAAGTCAATCGAAACGTCATTTGATGTAAAGGGAAAAAGCGAAGAAAATTCCTGGAAGGCACAAATTAAAAGGAACAGAATAAACTCAACGATTTGAATAACATTTACAGTTGCTGTTCGCAAATAATTTCCCATTTGAGTTAGCATATTTTTGCTGAAAAACTTTCAACGCCAACGCAGAAAATCTAAAAGCGACGGCGACGTCAGCAGCGACGTCGGCGTCCACAAAATGTATACAACTCTGTTGCAACGAATTTAAGCGAATTTAAGGCCGAACGCAGTTGATACCAGAACGACAGGGTGTTGAGGTGCATTGGTAAAGTGCAGCGGGGATTGGAGGGAGTGGATCAGTGGAGCAGTACCTAAACGAGATTAACGAGAGTAAAGAAAAGTGATTAACAATTGCAGCATGAGCTACCTGCGACAGGGCCCGGCTGCCAGCCTGAATTTGGATCATGCGCTGCGGTACCGCGAGCTAGATCATCCGCGTAGCAATCTGGAGGCAGGCATCTTCAGGCAGCGACTGCATGCTGCCGAGAATCTATACCAACGCAACCTGATGGCGCACTTTGGCTGCGTCAATGCGCTCGAGTTTAGCCCGGGCGGTGAATACCTGGCCTCGGGTGAGTACCTACCTGTTGCATTGTCGCCTAGGCAGTGCTAAATTGAGTACTCACTTTCGTGCAGGCGGTGACGATAAGCGCGTGCTGCTTTGGAATGTTGACCAGGCGCTAGGCAATGTAACCGAGGACTCCCCAGCCGCCATGTACGGAGAGCACGCCAGCAACATATTTTGCCTGGGCTTCGACACGCTCACCAGATACGTGTTCTCGGGCGGCAACGATGACCTGGTCATACAACACGACCTGTGCACGTAAGTGGCTTTGATATCCCATCCAACTCACTCTTTAACCCACTCTTGTGGCCGTCGCTGTGCAGCGGCAAGAATCTTAATTACTTTTCGCATGACGGGCCCGTCTATGGCCTCAGCGTGGACCGCACCACCAACAATCTCTTCAGCGTGGCCACGGAGCACGGCGAGATCCTCGTCTACGACATGCGTGTGGGCAAAACAGAACCATTTATCGTTGCCAATTTCCGCACGCCGTTCAATGCGGTGGAGTTTCATCCGTTGAATGGCAACTATTTGGCCACCGCGAATGCCAGACGAGGCGCACAGCTCTGGGACATGCGCAACAATACACAGTGAGTTGACTTGGCTGTCTCTGGCTCTGGCCTTGACTCTAGATTTCGTTGTACATATATAATGCTATTCCTCTACTTCTGAAGGCCTTTTCGTCAGTATAACTACATCACAGAATCTCCAAGCTGCATGAGCGTGCGCTTCAATTGCAATGGAAGTCTGCTGCTCACTCTGCATCGTCGCTTGCCGCCCATATTATACAATCCAAGCTCATCCGACCCGTTGTGTTCGTTTTACCACGATGAGTACTTCAACTCCTGCACCATGAAGAGCTGCACCTTTGCGGGCCCCCACGACGAGCTGGTGGTCTCCGGTTCAGATAATTTCAACATGTTCATGTGGCGATTGGACGGAATTAACTGTGAGTATTGGATGGATATTATAGAGCATAGGTATTGAATTGATCCCCCTTTTGGCATCCAGTGGAGAAAAAGAATCAGTGGATTGACACATCACCGGTTATCTTGACCGGTCATCGATCAATAGTGAATCAGGTGCGCTACAATCGCCAGCGCTGCTTGCTGGCCTCGTCGGGCGTGGAAAAGATTATCAAGGTGAGAGAAGGATTAGTCAAGTCTTATATACGAATAATTCAAGCTTTTCCTGCTCGTTTAGTTTTGGAGTCCATTTGCTCAGCAGGGCTGGGAGGGCGCATTGACGGAACCATCGGACACGCCCCATTGCACTCGCCCGCTCCATCGAAATGCCACAGATCATGTGTCCCAAGACTTTAGCATGCGTAATATGGAGGAGGATCAGGTGATGTTGGCCTTTTTCGATACGTTGGTGCAACGTGAACTGGAGACCTGGACCAACAATAGCAACAATACGAACGCCATGGGCCAGCTGACCACCACCGCCAGCGACAGCTCCTCGCCCACGTCAACGGAACACAGTGGGAGCAGCACCCAGTCGGACGAGAGCGATGGCGACACGCCCAATGTCAGCGAGCTCAGCTGGCAGACTCATCCGAATCGCATTTTCTACTTGATAGCAAAAAAGCGGCGAGCCCTGCTGCAGCTGGCGGTGAAAGGCACCGGGGGTCAGCATCGAAATGTGGAGCAGCTGCTAGCTCGGCTGCTGGGCGAGCAGCGACAGGTGGCCACCCAAGCTCGCATCAGTGAATGGCTGGAGGAGACGCATCGATTGTTCGGCGATGACGAGCTACCCACCACATCGGCAGAGGCGGCTTCTCGGGAGCGCCTGCGTCGGGAGTCGATATCCCAGGCCACCAGCCGCAGCCCCCGCAAGCCGCCGGAGCTTCAAATGAGTAAGTAAATCCAAGCAAGATTCTTTATTTATAGAGCAGCTCGAAACCCCAAACGAATACAGCGAGCACGCAGCCAATTGACAGGGCATAGAAAGCCAGTTGTACGTCCGTCAGGGTCAATACCTTCCAATTTGCCGCGCCCAGCTCGGCCAGGTACTCCGGATATTGGTGTATATTCCATTTGGCACGCTCCTTCATGTCGCTTATCCAGTGCTCCAACAGTCCCCCAGCCAGAATCTGCAGCAGCACCTTATTGATGCCCTGAATGTAGGGCGACGGCTTCGGCAGCACGTAGCCAATGTGATAGGTCTTGGGGCATTCGGGTATCTTGTGCACCTTGTGGGTCATTATGTAGCGTCTGTCGGTTAGCTCGAGGCTGGCGGCGCGTGTCACGCCGGCGAATCCGCCGATCTTTGAGGCCATGTTGATCAAGCGATCCTCGCCTTCGCCCACCAGCTTCATCCTCTTGTTTAGCCGCTGATAGACCTGCGAATCGTGGCCATAGAACAGATCATCCCTGAACGCCGGATGCTTTATGTAAATGGGCAAATTTAGCTCGTCCAACTCGGCCAGCGTATTGGGATCCCGATAGTAGAGCGGTCGTATATACGCCGTAGCCAGACTGGACTCGAGCAGTGCTCCGAAAATCACGCTCACCAGGCACAGGGAAGCCAGGAAAATACGCTCTGAATAGTACGGCGGAAATTTGCCCACATTTACGCGCACCCACACGACCCAGGTGTCAATGAAGATGCGCCAGGCAATGGAAATGTAGCGTTCATTTGGGGAATTGTCCTTCTGATCGGACAGGCGTTCGATGCCCAGGCTCAGATTCAAGGCCCGCAAACAGCACCAGACGAAGGTGCAAGCGAAGCCGACGACGAAAAAGCAGAGCCAGACATCCACACGTACGGCAAAGAGGGGCACTATGGACTATGGAATGCGCTGGGCCTTCTGCACGAAGAGGCACAGATCATCCATGTAGACGGCGGCGGTGAACTGGATCTGCGTCGTCAGATAATCCTTGATGAAGAAACCGGCAAAGATGACGTCCAGCTCACGGCGATGGGCGCGACCCACGCCGCCAGTATACGAACCATTGGGCAGCCGTCCACTGGACGGATGCATATTAATATGCGTGTCTATGAAGGCTACTTCTCCTATATACTCACCCGAAGAACTCGTCATCTGGCCACGCATAGTTCAGCGTAAAGTTCAGGTGTTTGGCAACTGTGTCCGCCGCAATGGCATCTGGCCCTGTGACACGTTGGACCTGTTCGGTATCGCCATCTCCGAACAGGGCGGAATACACCGAATCGAAGATGTAGGCGCGCAATGGATAGCCGTAGAGATTCGAGTAGATGCGCTCAAAGCTATGCTCATCCTCAGCAGGAACCACACTCTGCAGAAACGGATTGTAGAGGAGAACTGCTTGGCCTGCCAGCGGCACATAGTAGACTCGACTGTGACCATGTCGCCGCCAGATTTCCTCCATGAGTTGCTGCAAATTCTTTTGCTCCTGCCCTGTAAAGCCTTCGATTGCCAGGATATAGAAACCGCCCGGGTTGATGAACAGCCTGAGGTACTGCTGCATTTGGTGTACATGGTTAAAGATATAGAAGTGATACAGTGCATCCTCTGAGTGTTGGTATACGTCCACATCCTGTCCCACATGCACTCTCATTGCACTCTTCTGCTGTCTCAGTAGGAACTGCACAAGGTCCTGGTCCGCATCGCGCGGGCCTCTCAAGTGCAGCTCCAGGGTGCCGTCCAGCTGGCTGAGCACGGGCTCAAAGACTTTCGCATAGATATCCAAGTTGCCATTGTGCTGGCCGATAGTTGGAGTTGCTGTTGCCACTAGGATAACTAGGATAAACATCATTAACTCTGCTGCCAGCGGCATTGTGAACGCAACTGAACTGTTTGGCCAGCGGCAGCTCAATCGCTGCAGACAGGACAATAGCTTTGTGGGCAAACAATGAGGCGTTGACACCTGGGCTGGCATATTTGTTTGCCAACTGTCAGAATTTCGACAGCTGACTCTATGCTCGCCGGCTAACAATGGTGGCCGGGCCACGCCCACGCGCACGCGGCGATACCCCCAATTATTGGCAAGTGTCGAGCCATTATTAGCCCAAGCGGAGTCAAGCCTCCGATTTATGTGTACACTTCTCTTGCATGACTTGTCCAAATAGCCACCACCAAAATAAATTTCTATTTCTCTCCACAGTTGGCTCCCTGCAGGCCAATTTCGAGCAGCTGGAGCGGAAGCGTAAGCTGATGCGGCTGCGATTCGCTGCCATCAAGCGGAGGCGCAAGGTGCGACGTCCGCGCCGTGGCAGACAGGAGAATGATAATGCCTTGGCCTATGATACAGAATGGCTAGATGATGATGATGATGACGATGATGAAATTGATAATGATAATGGCAACGATAACGAGATGGAGATCAGTCATGAGACTATGGGCGAGGACAACAACACCAACAGCAGCAGCGACGACACATCCAACACATCAATGGAAGCACAACTGTCTCAAGCTCCGAGCACCTCAAACTCGCTTCAATTCGGTCTGGAACCAAACGAGGCTAACAACAATAGTCCACCGGCTGCCGCAACCAGAAACAAGAAGAGGAATGGTCTCATGACTGGCGCATGCTACCCGGAGACGACCACCTCCTCCAATTCCTCTTCGAACCAGACGAATATTTAAACACATCCAGGAAGCTTTTTCCCAGAGGTTTCCCTAGACTATTTACAGCTGGTAAGCCGAAAAAGAGAGAGAATGGAGCGTTTATCGCAAATCAATGGATTGCTACAAACTCTTCAAATACAATGGACTAGTATATATATTAAGCTCTACACGTAGAAAGTTGAACTTTGATCATTGGGCTGAACCAAATCGCCCACTATGGCTACGATTGTGTTATTTAATAATTTAGAGTGTACATTACTTGGCATAGAATTAGCCATGCACCGATACTTCTGATAAGAAAGGAATCCTACTCATTATTTCATTTCAAAAACTGTTGCACTTTGGTTGTATCAAGTTAATGTGAAGTTTATAGAAAATTTTCTATTCTATTATTTTTAATACTTGTTTGGAAAAGGTTTGCAGCTTTTCAAAAACTATTTTAATTTCAATTTTATTTTATTTTATTTTAATTAAAGAAAAACAAAATTATCAATGGAATACTTTTAATTTGTTGATCTCTGAAACAAAACAAATGCAACAACAACAAAAAAAAGTAATGAAACTTTGACAACATTCTGAGTATAATTTTTCATGTATTCATTAGATATAAGCAAAAAACAAAAATAAAATTTACAAAATAGCAAATACAAGTTTTTTTTTTTTTCATCAAAACTAGCAAGTGAAATTTGAATGTTAAATGTGATTGAAAGTAAAACATGAATGTCTTAAACAAACAAAATATACTTAATATAATAATGTGTGATCAAACGCGAAAAAGAAATTTTCTATGAATGCCAACCGATCTGAGAAATATGAAAGGATCATGTATCTAAATGTTTTATAATAGATGATAATCCAAGAACTGGACACGCATCAAACGAATATTCATGAATAAACAAATGTATGTATGTGTCTGGATGAGACTATTCACTTAAAACCTATGGTAACCGGCTGAGGATAAGAAGTTTGCAAGTTTTCGGCTTTCATTTTATTGAATGCTAAAATCTGTGAACTTTGTGTGTTTGTCTACAATAATTTATGCGTAATATTAATAATAAGTTCTAAAAAGTAATTAAATGCTATTTTAGATATTTTTCGATTCGAACGATCATGCTGAAATGCAGAGGCAATTCACGTAAATAAGAAACATAAAATACACTAACGGAGGCCGAATAGCCTGTGTGTTCTTTATCAGGCGGCTGATTATGCTTTAAGTCTTAAACTGATTAACGGTAAGCTAGAAAATACTGTCTAATAATAATGTACGCTCGCTTTATCCAATTCTGTAGCCTACATCTAATGAATTAATGTACACGTTAGATCCCTCAAGATCTTAGCAATCAGCTCAACATATGCCGTCGGCGTTCATGTCACTGGGTCTGAACGGCAGTAAGAGATCCTTGCAGCGGGTCATAACAAAACGCTCCAATTTGCAGCCAGCACTAAACAGAAAATGAAGATGTTAATATCATATATAATTTAATGCGCGGACGGCTACTCACTCGTAAATCTCATTGCCCTCAACATTATAAAGATCGCAGTTTTTGAACACCAGCTGAATATCGTTAAGCAATTCCTCGTTCAATTGATATTCACCCATATTTAGCTTGGACTTGATCTTGGCCAGATCCATGGGCGTCTTAATTATCTTATGGTAGTCTGGTACTTCGGAGGGCAGCACTGGTCGCAGGAAAGGCCACGCCGCCTGGTGCTTCATTGTCTGCTCCAGCAGATCGTATAAGGCGGCGCTGTTTAGTGGCAGATTGTCATTGGCGCGTCGGCCCGAACGACGATTGTTGTTGTTGGTACTGGTGTTGTTGTTATTATTATTGTTGTTTGAAGACTTGTCTAGCGAAATCCGGAGCGAGTTACGTGAGGAACGAGAACGTTTGGCTTGCGGCTCCTCATGATCCTCCCCATCATCGGCATCGCCATCAGCTGTGAATGAGAGATATGTTAATAGATATACACTCTATTGGTATGCAAGGAGTAGTGGAGACAATACCATGACTGGGACGACGTCGAGTACGCGATGTTTCGTTGCCCTTGCACTTTTTGCAGACGAAGTCCGTGCGGGGCTGACGCTTTAGCTTGACACATTCCAGGTGATACCACTCGGAGCAGCGGGAGCAGCACACTTCGCAGCCGTCGTAGAAACAGATCTGGCAAACCGCCTCCTCCTCGCTGTGGGTAGAAAGATGGGTTAATTAAATAGATTCTCAATACGCCCACAATGCTATCTATGCTACATACGTTTGTTCCTCATCGTTTTCTTCCTCTGTGTCATTCTCATCTGCCTCCACAGACGAATCATTTTCGGCCTGCTCGTCTTCATCCTCCGCGACCGCATCTTCGATTTCTTTGGATTTAAGTCGCCGGCTGCTGCGACGTCCGCTGGAGCGCACAGCCACTTTGGCTTTAGCCTTGGCGGATGTTGAAGAAGCCACGCTTTCCGGATCGTCACTGAGCTCATTTTCTTCAATGTTTTCTTCTTCATCGTCCTCGTTGCCCTCGTCCTCATCATTATCGGCAACGCCTTCATCGACATCCTCATCCACCTCGTCCACAATGAACTTGCGCTTCTTTCTAGGCACGCGCTTATTTTGCTCCTGCTGCTTGTCATCTGTGGCATTCGTCAGGCCCAGATTCTTGACACAGGTGTGGCAATACCAGTTGCCCTCCGGCACTGTGCGCATCTTTGGCTTCATGCAGAACATGTGAGTGCCGCCGTTGCATTGGTCGCAGAGCAGCATCTTCTCCGGGTCGGTTCGGCGCCGGCACACCTTGCACAGCGACTTGCTCGTGGAATGGTTCCATAGTATGGAATCGTGCAGAATGCTCAGATGTAAGAATATCTGCGAATAGCTAGTGCTCTCCATCAGAGATATTTCCCACTGGTACAAATTGAGCTCGCTGATGAACTTCTGGTGCTCCAGCTTGGCGTCTTGGCGTTTCTTGGTGACGCCAAATGGCTCCTTTAGGAAACGACGCCCGATTGCCTGTTCCACTTGCAGCAGGGCACTGGCCAGATTTCGCACCTGGGTTTGCTGGGCCTGGGACTCTGCGGAGGATGTGTCCTCGCCATCGAGAATGCATTGTCCCGGATCGGTGAACTTGCCATATCTCTTCTTTGTATATTGACTATGGGCATCCTTAATATCATCATCATGATCATAGTAATCCTCGTGCGATTCATTGTCCGAGTCCACCTCTCCCGCCTCGCTGGAGATCTGTCCAGGCCCCCACTGGAGCTTAGTCTGGGCATCGAAGTTATCGTCCAGCAATTGCTGTCGCCATCGCTCCATATCCTTGACCTTCAGTTTGCCCAGGTCGCCGGTGTAGATGTCGGTCTCCAACTGCAGAATGCAATCTACGAGATGCAGACGCAACACCTCGTTGAGCTCTGTGCCCTCAGGAAGTCCAAAGTTAGCCTGGCTGTATTTTCGCTGCGTCTCCGAGTGCATCGCGCTCATGAACTTGTTCCGCTTCTTCTCAGTGTCCAGAGTGAGCAGGTCCAGCGGACAGTTTTTCACATGCTGTTCGATTAGCGAACGCATCTGGGTGAGCTCATCGAGCAGCTCAGACTCTCGCCAGCCAAGTGGATTCAGGGATCTGAGCAATGCATCGATCTCTTCGGGCTGATATATATACGACCAGACCTTTCGCTGCGGATGCTGCTCGCTGTGAACAATGCAGTTGGAGATATCGCCACTGCACATGAGCAGCTCGAATTGAGTGGGCGGCGCCTGCTCCTCGTCTTCCCCGCCACCGATTTCCATGCTCTCCGCCGATGGGCCCGGGCCGTGGCCATTGAGCCGATTCTCCTGGTTCTCTTTGTTCTCCAGGGACTGCTTGGTATTGGATTTGCGTTTCTTCTTATCATCGTCGCTATAGAGCTTCACCAAATAGATGCGCAAATCCTTACGCACCTTTGGCAGCTGCGCCTGTTTGCGCAGCTCTGCGGGCGACTTATTCACCGGCGGCTGGGCCAAGCACGTGTCCATCATGGTATCGGGCATATGCTCTATGAAAATGCCAGGCATGGACTCCAGAACATAGTACTTGCGGTAGCACCGATCCGTGCCTAGATATATCAAGAAGTTAAACAGCTCCGAGTGGAGTTTGAGCACCTGATACTCATGCTTGCGCTGCTCCCGATCCGACTGCGCTGTCAAGTCGGCTATGCGTCGATTCAGCTGTTCGGCCAGCGCCTGTTTCTTCTCCGCGTCCTGCTTGATGTCGTCCGAGAGGCACTGCTGATTGTGCTCATTGGTTAGCTTGCGTTTGGCCATCTCGACGGCGGCCAGACGCTTGTTCTCCGTAATGACGAGGGCGCGCAGATCACTCTTTGCCTTCGCCGTGCGCTCCATACGCTCCTCGATGACATTGATGGTGCCGGAATAGGTCAAGATCTGCGCCATCAAGCAGTTGATCACACGCATAATATCCACAAAGTCGAGCTGAACAATCGATTGCGTTCTAAGGGCACGCAGAATGTGAGTGTGTTTCAAGCGTAAGTGGAGACCTGGATCCTCGATTGAGGAATACCCATTGCGGTACATAATCCGCCACTTTTCGGGCCTCTCCTGCACGAACGCCCCGGAGGCCAACAGATGCAGGCGCAGAACCTCGCTCAGGGTGAGCGCGTCCATTGGCAGCTCGTTCAGATTGAAGGAGAAGTGTCGCTTACAGTAGTGCTGCGTGTGCGAGGCATTCGACATGCTGATGTAGGGCTCGCGCGTGAAGGGTTTCCGTCCCACCGAGTACCTAACCGGGCACTCCTCCTCCTCCTCCTTTTGCAGATCAAAGATTGTGCCCAGAAGCACGAGCAGTATATCAGAGAGTGGACCAGCCACTTCACGGGCGCTAAACGCGCGCGACATCTCGTAGAAGCTCAGATTTTGGCGGAAAACCTCTACGCCGGAGAGCAGTCCGCTATAGGTGTGCATAAATTCGCGTAACATAAATGCATCACCCAAAAGATGATCTGGTAAGAATGTGACAATTGGATGATATGTGGGCAACACCAACTGATCGTTGCGTTCCAGGTCGTCTGTCTTAGCCGTTAGTTCGTGGCATTCTTGGTCCACGCGCAACATCAGCTCAGCCTTTTTCTCCGCCTTCTTTCGCTCCATCTCCGCACATTTGGCTATCTTCTCGAGCCGCACCCGTTCCATTTCCTCGGCCAGCAATTTGGCTCGGACCTCGGCGTCCACTTTGCTCTTGGCTGGCGACTCCTCTCCCTTAACTATGTATTTGTTCAACGTTGATTGTTTTTTGGTATCCTTAGCCTCGGGTCGTTTGATTTTTGCCGGCGAATAGCGCGGCATTTTGCCGATAAATATTTTGGAAAAGTGCGCATTAGCGTCGGTCACATATTGTTTGTAGGTCTCGGGTTTGGGACGCAGTATTCCATCCACACGTACTACGTTGTTTTTGATGAACATGGCCAAGTTCTCCTGATTGAATTCGGCGCGCTGACGTCGCAGTTGATCGAAAGGTGCGCTAATCTCTTCCCCATTCGGTGCACGCAAACGATATTCCAGCTGCTCGGTGTCCTCATATATACCATTGCCCGGCTCCGGCACATGCTCGCCTGCCTTAATGCCCACCACTTTGAAAACTGCATTTTTCCTGGTCGTAACGGTCACCTCTTCATTGAGAAAGAAGCGTTTGCGCAGAAACTTGGACACCATTATATTGAGCGTCTTTACGGCCGACTGACGAGCATGCTCGATGACCAGCAGTACCGGAGCACGCAAGCTCTGTTTAAACTGTTCCATCTTCTTGCGTGCCACCCGCTCGCTCTTGACCGCCTCCTCGTAGGTGAGTCCATCCTTACCAGTAGCTTCGCACTGCCACACCGTCGAGTTAATGGCCATAACATGTCGAAAATAGTTTCTGTAAATGTTAAATGTATAATATATTTATGTTCAGTCCTCGATTTTATTTTCAAATAAAAGGGTTTTTAATGGCCTATTGAAATCGCTTCATTTATATTGTATATTTTACAATTATATCGCCTTAATATGTATATTTATTAAATGCTAATTTTCAAACTAATTTTTTCTATAAGTAATCATATATTGTGAACTTTTTAATGTTATAAAGGATTATCATTTTCCAATACATAAAACCTATGCAAATAAATCCTGATTAATTAGACATTTCGGACATTGATAAGCGAATGTAACAGGCTCTAAGTTAACCTTAAAAACATTCATATAAAATTTGATTATTTTACAGCTCAATCGGCACTTCTATTATGTACCTATCTTTTTCAGTGTGAAATATTCTTTGAATTGCTATATCAACACTTTAGTTAATATAACAACAATAAAATGAATGTAGAACAGTAAGCTACATCCATGGAATAAAACTAGCCTAAAACAATACTAATATATGTACATAAGCATATAACAGTAAGCTACTTTCAGTTTGTGTTTGAAATGAAAAGTGTGAAAGGTGGCAACGCTGCTCATAGCAGCTGGGTATGTAATTCGCGCGCTTTCCACTGCGCGCCCTCCCAACCACCTTTTCGACACAGCGAAATCTCTCTGCCTTTGCATGTATCGCTTGGCCGAAGCATGCGTTCATCAGCTACGCTTTGTTGTATACTTTAGCGTGTGGTTTGCTTTGTCATTGCTATCCTGCTGCAGCATACAGCTTTTGATAAAAGGCAAATACAAATTAGAGCCAAGGCGTTCGAAACTTACTCATAATCACGGAATATGCGTTTGGTAATATAGCAGCAGAAGACCAAGTCGTTGTCGTGGAATGTTTCATTTTTGCCCTCTGTTTGATTGAGATCGAAACCGTCGCGTTTGCAAATCGGCATATTTGCTTATTTGTTGCAGAGCTCGTTAAATTTGTTATTATACTCGTGGGCAAAACTTTATAAACGCGCGCGAAGGAACACTGCAGAAGCCACAGTCTGAGAGGAGAAGCACAGACACTTGCCAATAAAGGCGCCCAATTTTATTGCAAGCAGACAAATATAGCCGTTATTATACTGCTCGTTATTATATGAATTCAATTAATAACTGCAGTGTGCCACTCTTGCTGCTCTTTGCACTCGCATTTATAAGCGTTGGTACTATATTAGTAGTTATTTTCCTTAAAAATATAATTTTCACGCGCGCCTCGCGAATTTCGCTTGGCGTTTGAGATGCTAATGGCACTTCGGAATCTTACTATCGATAAATAGTATGTAAACAAGCACAAGCGTTGACTCCATCTACCGATAGTTTGCGCGCGACTTTCGCTAAGTGCTGGAAAACGCAAACTTAATATATGTAATGATTGAGTTCGTTAATTTCCATTTTTTCAATAATTCTTTATTCTAATTAGGAACATTTAATCGCCTAACAATAACTGGTTCAACATAAAGGGCTTAAAAGTGGAGAAAATATAATAACAATCATTCTGTTGTCAACTTCTCTCCTGATCTATGCAGATATCGATGCCCCTATATATCGATAAGACATCAACAACTCTACTGCAAAACGGAATAAAAGAACCACACACAAAAAAAGTTTGCGGAAAAGGAAAAGTGCATATGACTGACTAAAAATAATACGAGAAGGCGGCATAATAGATAGCAATGTGCACAAACGAACAGTGTAAAACGAAAAACATGCGCTACTGCGTATGACGGCTATAATAAGTTTTCATCTATCTAAATAGGTAGGCCTCTGCCTCTAGCTCAGCCTCACTGGCGCAACGAGCAGGCTGCTTCATATCATTCTTTCGCTGTCTTCCTCTTCGCTTCGTGCGACACAAGCAACAGCAGTAACCCACAGCAGAACGATATTTTTGTCGAGGGGCAAAAACTGTACGCGCTCTGTGTTGTGTTGTGTTGTCTTCTTATGTGCGCTTGTGTGTGTGTGTGTTAGTTAGTGTGTGAGTGTGTGTGTATGCAAGTGCGAGTGTGGGAGCAGGAGGGCGCAGCGCGGTAACCGAATAATGTACAAAAGTTTAATGTCTCGTTTTGTTTCTACTTATGCAAATTGCAGTCTGTTTTCCGTTTCTGTATCTTAGTGTGCGTGCGCTGCTACGGACTTGCCTTAGTGTAATTTATTAACTTGACGAATTCCCACCCATCCCCTGCGTTTTGTGTGGCAAGCCAAACGGAATCTAAGCCTTAAATGATAATGGTTCGCAGACGCGCACGGCCCGTCAAAGAGCCAGCCCTAGCGGTGGGGACATCAAATTCCGATTCAGCACTGGCCATGCCATTCAATGGCGAGCCAATCAGCGCTGTGGCTGCGGCGGCAACCAATAATCTACTGGATGATCAATATTTTGCGAGTCCCAAGCGAAAAGACTGTCGCCTCATGAAGGCACACGAAAATATAAGGAAAGACAACGGCAAGGCCAATGGCGGTAACTCAACCAAGTCGGAAACTGGCCGAATAATTGGTAAGTAATTTGAGGTTAATTTTCAGCACACTTACACTTAGCCCCCCTTCACTTCCCTTGTCTTTGCTCCTATAGGTGTTCAATTGGCAACACGCTCTCAGACACGGACGATTGAGAACTTTTTTAAAGCAAGTGCAGCTGCAAAAAGTAAGAAAAAAAATGGAGCTTTATCAGAAACAACTGTTGGCAAGGAAACAATAGCAGAGAAAAAGACAATAACTTTATTAGATGAACTGGAAGTGGATGAAGAGGAGGAGCTGCTCCTGTATGATGAGCACTCGGTAGCTTCGCCCTCGACCAGCACCAGCTCTCCAGCATATCAAAACGATGATCTTGAAGTTGACAACAGCTATGACCCGGGCTGTAATTACACGCCCACAGACATTGACACACACATTCAAATAGACGCACACACACAGACAGAGACAGGCATACCAACAGATACACACACACAGACAGAGCAACGCTCCGAGTCACCTACGAACACGACTGCCTTTCAGACGCATCGCTCGGCGCTGCGTGACAGTCACAGCTCGTCACATAGCAGCAGCAGCAGCGCTGCCACTTCCGAGAATATATTTCTGCAGGAGCCGGTGCTGACGCTGGACATTGATCGCACGCCCACCAAGGCCTCCAGCATTCGCATTAACAAAAGCTTTGAACTGGCCAATGCCGTGTTCTCATCGCCGCCTTCTGTGCTGAGTGCTTGCGTGCTCAACGGTCGCTTCAATCAAATTGTTACGCTGAATGGGCACGCGCACGGGGAGGAGCTGGAGCACGAACAAGAACAGCATCAGATGCAACAGCCGCTGGGCGGCTACGAGTTGGACCAACATGACAGCAGTTCCTGCGACAGTGGAGTCGCCTGCAGCCTGACGACGGGCACATCGCCTGCGGTGTCGGCCAACAGACGACGCAAACCCGCTACGCCACACCGCATATTGTGCCCCTCGCCCATCAAGACAATGCCTCGCGATACGGCGTTAGTCAAGGGCGAGGCTCTGTCGCCTCGAAAGTCGCCGCGCAAATTGAAAATGCAGCTGGCCGCAAGCGGTGCGTCAAAGTCGCGACGAAGACTGAATCAGCCAAAGCCACAAGCGCCTTACCAACAGCAGCAGCAACAGCAGCACAACCACATCGCTAATGAGGATGTAGTTTTGGTGGACGATGAGGACGAAGAGGATGATGTGCACGCTCTGCTCAAGGCCGCGGAGGAGCGTGAAAATCTGAACAAAACCAAGGCAATGCTCAAACCGGCTGCCGTCACAGCGGCAGCAGCAGCCAAACCAAAGGCATCATCTACCAAACCAGCTAAGGCCAAAACAATGGCAGCCAAATCCGTGCCCCTGGCTGCCACCAACGGCAACCGTGAGATGACTGAGTTCTTTCCGGTGCGACGTAGCGTGCGCAAAACCAAAACAGCCGTCAAAGAGGAAATGATGCGTAATCTGGAGCAGGCTGTGCTCGAGGAGCGCTGCGATGGTCTGCAGGTACGCCATTTTATGGGCAAGGGGCGCGGCGTTGTCGCAATACGTCGCTTCAAGCGTAACGAGTTTGTCGTCGAATATGTGGGTGATCTCATTTCGATCAGCGAGGCCACCGAGCGCGAGCGTCGCTATGCGCTCGACGAGAATGCCGGCTGCTACATGTACTACTTTAAGCATAAGAACCAACAGTACTGCATCGATGCCACCATTGACACCGGCAAGCTGGGCCGCCTCATCAATCACTCGCGCAACGGTAATCTTGTGACCAAGGTGGTCGTTATCAAGCAACGGCCCCATCTGGTGCTGCTGGCCAAGGACGACATTGAGATCGGCGAGGAACTGACTTATGACTACGGCGATCGTTCCAAGGAATCGCTACTGCATCATCCATGGCTGGCATTCTGAGCCATGATACGGCAACTGTCATTACCTAATTATATATATAGCCTAGTAATTCATTAAAGAACAATGATAAAATATTGAAAAAACAAAAAGAAAACTGTTAGTGCAAAATATCGTAAAGGATAGAGAGCATCATCAACATATTTTTGGATCTGTTAGCGTTTTCCCTTTATGTTAAGGCATCGATTATGAAACTGTTGAACATTTAGATGAAGTTGAAGCGATTGAAGCTGATGATTATAACACAAACATTGCATTCACATTTATAATGAAAACGTACACACTATTTATATAGGACTAGAATACATATACATAAATATATATATAGAAATATAATATTGCTAATTAATATGTACTATTTACTGCCATAGTGCTATCTAAATACACCCTATGCACCTCGCTCGCCACTCCCAATCCAAAAGAAGAAACAACAAATCCTGACTAGATATTTATAGATACATACATATATAATTATTATTGCATCAACATCTCTTAACACAAGCACAGACATCTGACGAGGCTTTCTGTAGCGTCCAATAGCAGAGTCCTACTTACTGAGAGAGCGTCTTACTGAGATGCATCTCCCAATGAGCTTCCTTAAGCAGGTTTCATGTACTCCATTACGTCTCGCAGCAAGTCTCCTAGAAGAAACATGAATCTAATTATATATGTCGCGGCCCCGTCCCCTAAAACTTAATTCATAAGTCTAACGCAAAATTGTATTGCAGTAAACTTGGTTCAAATAAACGTAAATTGTTTTTTTTTTTTTTTTCTTCAATTACTATATATATAACATATATTTTTATTATACTCTGCGCATACATATATTACACATTAAATTATCTATTGTATTATATAATTTTGTAGCACATAATACATTGATTTGAATTTTAGCCGCAAACCCATATATAATAATTATATCATTTGTATTTGTTTAATATTTAATTAGCAAAATAAAAACAAAGCTCACACAGAAATGCATAATTTACAGTTAGGTCTACGTCTACTGCATCGATTTGAAATTAGTTAATAATTTATATATAATAATAATTGTTTTACTTTCACACACACACACACACACACAAAATACAGAAACAAACATTAAGCGAAAATCAATAAATAAAACATTAACACAAAAATCTGAAGCCAATTCAATTACATATCCTTTCTTCCACTTTACCTTAGAGATCAATGCAAACTATAACTACAAATGGAATGGAGGCGTTTTCTTTCGTTTCTTGTTTAAATAATAATATAACGAATTTGATAAGTTATATTACAAACACGCCTATAAAAGTATACAGGGATATCAAATATATTCGCTTAGGCGGGTTAAGTATTTCTTGTTGTTTCCTTTAGATATATCTCATTTTGGAATGGCTGGGACAATGTTATTAGAAAATGGAAGTGATTCAACCAGACTGCTCGATTCTATTCACAGATTAGCTTAAGCCAATGCGTAATGGGTCTAAACTGGGCTATACAAAGGTCCCTAGGCTGGGCTTTCACAAATATATATACATACGTATATTTAATGGACACCATATTAAAATTGTATTATGACTATATTCTGGGCAACTTATTTAATAGGAAAGCAAGTTGAATCAATTCAAAAGCATTTAAAGTAGGTCGTTTGCCTTAGCTAAGTGTAGAGGTAATATCGCGTACTAATTTTTATGCAACACTATACAGTCTAAACAAATAAAATATTTATATAGGTGTGGACCTTTAACTAGAACTAGTTGCTGAGTTATTTAAGTTTTCGGCCAACTGTTGCAAATAGGTTTTAGATTTTACATTCAAATTAATTTTTACAAAATATATTGCACTACAGTTCATTCTCGACGCGAACAGATTAGCATTGCTTTGACTACGACTATACGCCTACGCCTACGCATACGCGACTAACAACAATGAGAACAACGACAACAACAACGGCAATACACACATTAACAATAACACAAGAGCCTAGTTGAATACAGTTGCTCTTACAATACAATATCTTTTAGGCTTATTTAGCAAATATCTAGACGGATTCATAATACTGACTGACGCACTGTCTACGTCAAGATGGTCGCCTCGGCTGCCACTGGACACGGCGGCGATGCCAACAGCATTGTGGACGACTTATGCTGCTGCTGCTGCCGCTGCTGCCTTGCACTGCGTAGTTTTTGTCATTTCTTGGCACTGAAACTGGGCTTGGGCAGCGAGCTCATAAAGGCGCCCGCATTGGCAGGCAATGCAGGGGCCACGAAGCTCAGGTCGGGTATCAAGGAGATGCGTGGCGCCACCTTAGCATTGCTCAAATGAAACTGTTGCCGGTGGTGTTGATGCTGCTGCTGTTGCTGTTGCTGCTGCAGCTGCTGCTGATGGTGTTGATGATGCTGATGCTGATAGGACACGGCATTGCCCGTGGGTGTCGGTGCCGTTGAGAAGTCGTGCATCATGTGAATCTGTTGTGGTATATTATTATTGTTGCTGTTGTTGTTATTGTTGCTGCTGCTGGTATTATTGCTTTGATATTTAGGCACCAGATTGCTGTGTGAATGCGGCTGCTGCTGCTGCTGATATAGGCTCAGCGGATTATTGTAGAAATTGGCGCTCTGCCACGCGCCCGAATTGAATTGGGGCGCAGCGCGTGCCGGCAACGGCGTGCTGCTCACAAAGTCTGACCAGTCGTCGTCCTTTTGCACAGCAGCCGCAATGGGCGCGGCTTTTCGTGCTTTCTGCGCATTGTTGTTGTTGTGTTTGATTTGCTGAGGCTGTTGCTGCTGCTGCTGCTGCTGCACAGGCACCGACACAAAGTCGGACCACTCATCGTCCTCCTGATGTTGCTTCGTTTGCTGTTGCTGTTGTTGATGTTGATGCTGCTTGGGCGACTGTTGCGCAACACTTGCGCTTATCGTGGGCGGCTTGTACTGATGCGAGAACAGCTCCTCGATGCGCGCCAGTTCATCCGCATTGATGCTGGCCTGCGCGTTGTCGCCCCACTCTATGGTGGGCTTGGCCAGCGGAATTGACTGCGGCAGCAGTATGGCCGGACTGAGTATCATGTGCTCACCGAACGTCGGCGTTCCGTTGCGCGGTGGCTGCAGCTGGGCGACGTTCTTGACGGCGGGCACAGACTGAAAGTCACTGAAATCGTCATCCTCTGCTGCAGGTTTGCCCGCGCTGCTCGGCTTCGTTGGCGAATCGAGGCCAAAGGGCGGCTTATACTCCACATCGCGGTATTCCTTCTTGACAACCGTCTCATCTATAATAATTCCGGCCGAGGCAATCTCGTAGTCGAAGTCAATGGGCGCTAGTGTTGTGGTCTTCGCCACCACGGTGTCCGATTTCGAGGGCGTGTAAATATGGGTCTCTTTGAGCGGCAACGAAAAACTATTGTTGTTGTTGTTGATGCTGCTGCTGCTGGTGCTGCTGTTGCAGCTGGTGATCTCATGCAATTGCTGGCTGTTTACAACGGTTGCCAGTGCCGGTGGCGGTGACGGTGAGGGTGATGGCAAAAGAGACTCCCCTCTTAGATCAAGTTGCTGCTGCTGCTGCTGTTGCTGGGGAGGGAGCTGCTCAGTGTCGTCGAAGTGGTTGCCATGGCCGTCTGCTGATAGAGCAGGCGATAGCGGTGCTGTTGCTGCTGCAGCAGCAAATATTGATGCTGCTGCTGGGCCGTCATCAGAACAGGCGCCGGACACAACGGCAGTTGCCTCGTCGGAGCTGCTTGCGATTTGCCCATCAGCCGGGCTAGGCTGCGCTTTAGTCTGGCTCTGCGATGTTGCTGCGGTGGCGGCGGCGGCTGTTGCTTCAAGTCCTGTGAAGCACAGTAAAAATTCAGATTAATATTGGGGCATCAGCAAGGGCTTTTGGTTAGATACAAATGGACAACATGAGTACTAAGATACTGGATTAACTAGTGCAGTTGTGGAAGGTTCTGGGTTTCGGTTGTATTTTGGCAGCGAAAGGTAACAAGAACTGAGGAGAAATTGTTGGAGTTGCATAGACTTAAAAGAGAGTATATAAAACAGTATACACAACTACAACACGAAGCACGGAGCCAACGAAACTTACTAAGATCCAGCAAGGCGCAGTGAGCAGTAAAATTAGTGTTTGTTGTTGTTGTTGTTGTGGTGGTTGTTATTGCATGATTGTTATTATTGCAGATGGTGGCAAAATGTGTGAGAAAATTGGCATTGGCATTGACATTGTCATTGTTGTTGATGTTGTTGTGGTTGATTGTCATATTTTCATTATTATCATTAAGCAGTTCCATTAATGGCAGTTGCGCATCCAAGGCATCGTGAGTATTGTTGTTGTTGTTGTTGTTGTGGGAGTAGTTAGAGGTAACAAGATTTATTTTATCAGCATTAGCCACCATCGTTACTTGGTCTAGTTGTTGTTGTTGTTCCAATTGTAAAGTCTGTACATGTGATTCTAAATACAATTTATCGTAAGGATAAATTTGAGTACAAAAATGGTGGACACAAGAATCAAGTGAAAGTAACGGTATTTTGCTATATAATACCCTTGCAGAAGATCGATATAACGAATGTTATAAGATAAATACGATTTTTTTATAAAAGAAAACAAAATTAAGTCAGAGTAATTTTTGAACAATCCTAAAAGTCGTATTAATACAAATAACAATGTTTTTTAAACTACATGTACATTGGCATAGCAATAATATTATTAATAATGCTAAAAGCTTTTTTCAACAATAGTTTGCATATATGCATACATCAAGCATACATACATATATGTCTGTCTGCAAGGGCATCACAACCTCGGTCTACCGAAGTGAATATAATTTGCAAGTACGTTTTGTAGTGGGATATAGGAAACGAATGAAAATCAAGTAAACGAGAATATAGAGCAGCCAATAGAAGGCAGGCCAATTGTTCGGTTTGGAAGCGAAAAGCGTGTGGATCAAACGAAACGTCTCAGGAAAGAGCGAGCGAGAGGCAGTGGAAATTTTGGTTACGAGAATCGTGTGTAGCGGTTAATTTGCAGTAACTAAGTTCTTTGCAGCGTGTAACGAGTCAAGGAACTTACCCTGAAATGGCAGCTGAGTAGAGCTGCTGTTGCTGACGGACAGCAGCGAGGAGTTCGACCCGGGCACTGCTTGTGGCTTGAGCGGTTTGAGAGGATCAAAGCTTAAATTCGCTGCAAAACGTGGCATTGATGCGTTCCACTTATCGCCAAAGAGCTGGAAATATCGAACAACTTTTAGTAAAAGAAAATACATATTAAATATATGTCTACTCACAATATTACGCGAATCGATGGCCAGTGAGCGCACCAGGGAGTGACGCATCTCTGAACTGGACCATTGATAGTTTAGAGCGTGTGCCTGTTCGATGGCACCAAAATGTAATGTTTGCGCCTCAGCCAGCGGTCTTTGGTTGCATGCTTGTTGCGCACAGCTGGACTCTACCTTAGGGAACATAATCTCCAGCACAGGCTTCACTCGCTCGTCGATGCTTAAGTGTGCAGCAGCAGGCGGCGGCGGTTGTGGTAGAACGGGCGCCGCTGCAGGCGGAGCGGAGTCAAATGTGGGCTCAGCAAAGTCGCCAAAGTCGTCATCAGAATCGTCCTCAGGAGTTGGCATAGTAGTCGTTGCGGGCGTTACAAAATCCTGAAAATCGTCAAAGCCATCGTCCTCATTGGCCGCTTGCTCAGTTTCTACAACTGCCGGCGCGGGAGAGAAGTCCGCAAAATCACCAAAGTCGTCGTCATCGCTTAGCGCCTCCTGTGACTTAGCCTCTTCGACTTTTATGTTTATCTCCTGCGGCGGCACTTCATTGGAATCTGCTACGTCGGTTGTTGTGCACGTAGAAATTTCGGGTTCAGGCTTAGCTTCAGGAAATTGATTATTCAGTGCAGACGCTTGTTGAGTGGGCGTCTCTATAAGCTCTATGGCAAAGAAGTCGGGCGCGCCTTCAGGTATAAATAGTTCTTTGGGTTTCTTTGGCGAACACTCGTCGTCGCTGTCGTCGGTGACATCTTCCAGTGTTACCTGGTGACATACTGGGGGTGCTTTGGTTGTTTGCTCGTCGGCTACGGGTGACAAGGTGCTTGGTGGAGTAGCACTGCCGCTGGAGTATAGGCTGAGACTGTCCAGTTTGAGCGAGGGCACATTGTCATTGGTGTTAGCCTCCTCTTCCTCATCGTCCACCATTGGTGGCTGCTCTACTTCAACATCTAGCTCACTTCGTTCAGCTACAGGCGCCAGAGCTTCAATGTGCTTTGGTGACATTTGATGTCCTTCGGATATTTCAGTGTCAACTGCTTTCACCTGATAATTGAAAGCCTCGACTGTAGCCTTTTCTGTTTTAGCAGGTCCAATGCTCAGATCTGGCGGTTGGGATTGAGCAATGTACTCTGCTGATATGGGCAATTCTGGCAATTCGGACACTGCAAGAACATTGCTATGTTAATAAGCACAAAAAGCAATTACCTATAAAAAGCAATTACCTTTCGTATTGAACGATGTGTTGTGTGTGTCGGTGACTAAGCCATACTCAGAGTATTCGTCAGCTTCGCCGTCTTCCAGCTGCAGCGTTGACTGTAGCCCCGAGTCATCGTCGTCCTCACCAAAGTCGATCGGGGGCGGAGTGCTGCACAAGAGTGGCGGCACATTTACCATTTTGTGAGTCCTTTGTTCCAATTTCGCACTCGTTGTTTTTGTTGTGCTAATTTAACTAACAGCAGCTGCAAGCACTTCAGCAACTGTCGTGCTGGTCGCTGTGACGTTTTCAACCCGTTTATCAGCGTATGTGTATTGGTTCTTGCGTGAATGCGTTTGTGTGTGTGTGCGTATAGTTGTGAGCCCACTCAAGGTCTGTGCTGGAATTTTCTTAGTTAACTTTACTTTACGCACCCGCGTGGAATTTGGGCTTGTAGTATTTTATTTAAGTGTCAGTTGCGCAATGATTTAGGCCTAAAATATATAGCTCAAACGGTTTTATGTTTCAAATTCGCCATGTTTTCAACAAAACAAATTTTTTCCAGGCTTAGTTCTGACATTCACACTTAGAGATGTGTGACATGTAACGAGTGATTACAGGTGGCGAGTCACTGTTGCCAATAATAAATACTACAAGTAACGGACACTTTTAATGTGTATCGGATATAAAATAAATGATAGTCACAATTGTAGTTGGCTCTGCAAAGATTTTTTTTATATGTCTAGGATACTATATTTATATTTTATTTCTAAAACGAATTTAATTGTGAATTACATAATCTTGAACACTTTTGAATATATTTGTGTTTTCAAATTTAAACAAAGAATTTTACAGTACTGGAAATATCGATATACTGCATATCGATTGTGTTCTTGTCAGTCTGACAGCTGTTTTAAGGTTATACTACTATTGTAGTGGACTTGAATTCGCATAATTATTGGTAAATATCATTTTATTTTGTAGATTCTGTGTTTTATTACTTATCGTATGTGTTATGTACAGCTTAATGTTTAGTTGGTATCAAATGATTAACTGACACATTTGTTTTCCTTGCAGCTATTGGTCTTCACATTACATAACTAACCAGCTATGTCTCAGGCTCCAGTTCGTGTCTCGCCGCTCATCAAGCTCGGAAGATGGTCCTTGCTGGTTGTGGGTATTGCCTATGGCGCTGCTCACCAAAGCCGACTCTCCAAGAAGGAGGCGAAGGTACGCGAAATCGAAGCCCAACAGAAGGCCGTTCGTGATGCCAAATTGGCCGAAGAGAAGAAGCGCAGTGCTGAGGCTGAGGCTAGGGCCCTGGCCGAGCTGTCGAAACCACGTCCCCATTAGAGTGCATCTTTAGTTACCTATTAACAGTTAATTAATTGCTTCTACAAGTGCTCGCTCTAACAACAACAACATCCAAATTCCATCAGGCGCAAGCGATCGGGCAGTGTTGCTCCAGAACTATCGAAATATCGATCGTGTTTGTGTGTTTCTCTGAAGTTTGTGCAAATTAAATGATTAAAATTGAAGGAATTATGTAAAACATACAACAAGTAGTGTCTAATGTATTGCTTATTTTAGATGGCCTTCTCTTTGGTTTCGTGAGAGAAATGTCTATGCATATTTTTAGTCAATTCTTAATTGTTATAGCACCGGAATCTCCTTGCACTTCTTCCTCTTAGGATGAACTGCCGCAGTTTACTAATTCTGTGTTGATAAGCTTTTTGTTGAATCAATAATTACCCGCTGCCAAGGTGACAATTTAATAGGTGTTGAAACACCTCACTTCACGGGGTCACACGCAAGGCACCCAATTTAAATGCCATCAAACAACTTTGCAGATTTGCCTTAAAAATGGCGAACTTTTTGGAGCAGTTGCCCAAGCATCTGCAGGAGATTGCAGAGCGGGGTAAGATCTCATATACAATTTATATCAAAGTGATATGCATTAATGATCCCATCTAGTCAATGTGCTGACGCCCGAGGCAATATTAACAACGCCTCGCATTAGGTTTATGGACACCCGTACTTGTGACTTGGACTCTTGTGTTCATAGCTGCACTCCGGAGGATGTGCGCATTCTGAAGGAGGCAGCTGCCAAATGGCTGGCTGAAACGCCCGTGTCAGGTAACTGACGGCAGGCCAATTGTTATTACTTTTAAAGTTATGCTATATCTGTGCTCTCAGCGGACTCGCTATTTAAAATACCCGCTCGATTGAAGTGGTCCCGTGTGACCTTTGGCTGTTCTGCACTTGATCAGTGCACAGGCGGCGGAGTTTCGATTCGTGGCATAACTGAGATCTGTGGCAACTCGGGCGTGGGTAAATCTCAGGTACTGTTACAGTTGTCGCTAAGCGTGCAGCTGCCTGCGACGCTTGGCGGCTTGGGCAAAGGCGTGGCATTCATCTGCACCGAGGATGCGTTTCCGTCACGCCGTCTACTGCAAATCAGTAAAGCATTTGAGGCTCGCTATCCGTCAGAGAAGCTGAACTTTTTGGGCAACATCTTTATCGAGCATCAGTACGAAAGCGTAAGATATTTGAAACAGATATAAGCAACTTTATCTGCCATTCTCTACGTTTTAGCAACCACTTCTCGATTGCATCAGCAATCGCCTGCCACAACTATTGCAGGAGCACAGCATTGGCCTGATCGTAATTGACTCTGTGGCTGCCATCTTTCGCTTGTACACCGACTTCGATAAGCGTGCCCGGGATATGCGGCGGATGGTGCACGCGTTGCTCAGCTATGCGGATAAGTACGACTGTGCCGTGGTGTGCTCCAACCAAATGACTGCCACTGAAGAGACGGATGAGACGCGCATGGAGGATGTGCCTTGTCTGGGCTTGCAATGGGCCAATCTGAGCCGCACCCGCATGCGCATCTCCAAGGTGCCCAAGCAGTACAAGCAGGGGGATCAGCTGCTAACCGTGCGAAAGTTAGAGATCGTCTACTCGCCGGAAACACCAAATGCATTTACCGAGTTCTTGATTACCGCCGAGGGCGTGGTCAATGTGCCAAAGCCATTGCGGCCAACGGCCATAAAAAGAAAATTGATTTAATTTGCTGAATTGTTTATTTTATTCTTTGAATTTAAAATTTGTAACGGCTGATGATGCGCTCGTCATAGATTCGGGTTTTTGTTTGTTTTGTTTGCTTCATTCTTTTTGTTTTGTTTGTACAAAGACTCACAATAAACATGTAGGTATTTTTTTATATTTGCCATCTATAATATATATATATATTTAGTAGCGATTTACACTTAGGACTGGTTCTGCTTAAACACTTGTAGTTAATAGTTAGTATAGTTAAATTAAATTTGTAATTAACATGAATTCACCAATTGTTGTTGTTGTCGTTTTTGCTGTTAATGAAGCGAGTGCGCTCTCTTTCTCTCTCTCCTTCTCTCTTTGTCGCTCTTCTAACTCTTTCGTATACTTTATCACATGAAATTTTCGAAAGTTCAAATTACAATTAAAATAGTATTTTGCATTTATTTTATGTTGTATTTTTTAAACTGCACATTAAACATTTAAATGCGTTTCTAATGGCAACATTTACAAAGCCTATACTTAAAACTAAAGCATACATACATACATTCAATAAATTACATAAATATGTGTAAATGCCTACAGCTAACAAGCACACATACACACACGCACACACAGACAACAGACATCAAGTGATCATTGCTAACTAGAAACGAATCTTGGCTGAGAGCTGGCCGTGTGCTTGAGCAATATTCGACAATTGTTTTTTTTTTTTTTCTTTTTGGCACGAGTTAATTTGACTGGCTAGGCGTGAAATGTGGGGGATTGGGGGCGGCTGTGGCTTCTTTTCAGCCTAACCCATCTGCACATCTTGATCCTGGGAATCTTGTGCCTCGGTGGATGTGCCTGGCTCACTGGCCGTCTCCTCGTCCTCCGATTCACTTTCGTTCACTTCGGCTGCTTCCTGTGCATCGCCGCCCTGCAGCTTCGTATTGGCCATGGCCAGGGCAATCGATATCTTGGAGGCGGCCAGCTTGCTCTCAAAGTCCATTTCAGCTAGCAATGCCTTCGAGGGTGAGCTGCGTCCATTTTCCTGGGCAGCCGCCGCAGCAACCGCCGCTCGCTGCAAACTCAACGCCGGAGACTCCTCTAGCTTGATTTCCAGCTTCTCAGTCTGCTCCAAGGGCGCCGCCGGCTCCACAGTCAGCGGTATGGCATGCTGGTGCAGCCGATGGTGGTGAAAAGCCTCACCAATGCTATTGTTGTTGTTGTTGTTGTTGCTGTTCGCATTGCGTTTCTCAACTGATTTGCTATTGCTGCTGTTGTTGTTGTTGTTGTTAATCGGCGTTGAATCGCCGGCATTAGCGTTAGCGCTGGCTCCATTGCCTACTGCTGGGCTGTTTGCGGCTTTTGCGGTCTTCTCCAGCAATGCATTCAATTGCTTTTTAATTTTGGTCGTCGCATGTTTTGTTTGCAATTTGTTTTCATTATTACCGCTGCCGCTTTTAGTTGGCGTTAACGCGTTGCTGCTTATGTTGTTGTTGTTGTTGTTATTATTGTTGTTGTTGTTAGTGTTATTGCCGCGTGATTTATCCCCTTGTCCATTGGACGCCTTCTTTGGTGTAGCCTCCACATTGCTGGCCGTGATGGACGTAGGCTGACAGCCGCCATCATCAACAGAGCCAGTGCTGTTGTTGTTGTTGCTGTTGCCTTTAGATTGCTGCTCCGTGGATGTGGGCCTGGACGATTTATGCTCGGCAGCCTCGTTGTTTGTGACATTGTCCTGTTTTTTCCACTTTGTGCGTCGATTTTGAAACCAAATTTTTACCTGGAAATAAACGAAAGTGGAAATTTTCTTAATAACAGAGTATTTATATCAGTCTCTAAGAATTTTCATCAGACATCCCTTTTCTTATACATATTTATGATGACTGAAATATGAATGAAATTAATCAGAAAACAAGAGAAAAATGAATATAATAAGAAAACAAGTAATATTGCAGTCAGGCTTTGTCCACTACATAATACTCATTCACGGGTTAAGGTTAAGTCTTTCTAAGTATACATTTTAGCCACGTACACTTTCTTCCTAATTGTACCAAAGTGTATATAAAATATAAGATTTTGATTTGTTATCTTTGGGTTTTCTAATTGCAAAGCTATAGAACACACCGCTTAGATACAGTTTGGGAATTCTTAGCCACAGTCTAGAATTCTTTTCAATACTGTGGAAATCATAGGATATTTTCTGAATGCCATGTCCTGCAAAATTGCGTAAAATATATTCTTAAGGCATCCACTATCAAGTTATTAAGCTCTTGCTTTAAAATTGTAGAAGATATAATCTATTATATCTACATATATAACAATATAAATCTTAGGTTGTTAGCGCATTTCTCAGATACCAAACATAGTATATCCCGCAATGTCAGCTGATTGAAAATTATCTTTACACTTTATAAGGCGAACGATGGAATGAAAGATGCAAGCTATACCAAACAGTGCGTTGGTATAACATTATTTAAAGATTACTTAACCCAACAGAGTGGCAAATGCATAAGGGTATTTAATTTATGATTTTTCTATGATTCAGGTGAGAAATCTTTAGCCTATCACATATTCTTATATGTGTAGGGCTCTATTATGCGATTCGCTAGAGAACTTTTGGACTACATATGAGTCAGTCGGCTCGAGTTGCTGGAGTCAGTTAGCTATAATTAGGCAATGTTTATGCCTCATTTGCCCTTATTAGTGTGCGTAAAACAAATAATTAAAAATTATGTATCGCATTTTCCACTTGCAAACACTTCCGCTACGTCAGCTACAGTTCAAAACAAGCAAACGCTGAAATGATGTGGGCCTGTCAAAATGCAGAATCCGCCTATCATCCACTGCCACTGGCAAAGTATGCCCATTCAGTGTTCGCTTTGTGTGAGAGTGTGTGTGTGTGTGTGTGTGCGTGTGTGTAGTGTTTAATGTTGCACAGGGCAACGGAAGGAAGGGGGAGAGCGAGAGGAGGAACGGTGCTGCGGCGAGCAGCGTCAATGGCGCAACATAAAACATTTGCTTCTTATTTCCATTTCATCCAAAATGATGGCCTAGCTAAATAAATGAAAAATCTATTTAAATCGCGCACATAATTAGTATTTCAGCGGCATGTCTGCACACGCACACACACACTCAGACTGGGAATATGAAGCAAAAATAAGCGCCAAAGATAGATGCCGTCATATGACATGCTCATTTTGCCGGCGTACCGTAAAAATGATGAAATTAACATGAACAAAAAAAAAAGAGAAAAAAAAGAGAAAAACAGGAGAGGAGAAAAAAATTAGAAAGAAAATAAACCATTTTTTTTCCACTTAGTAGAGGAAACGCTCAAGTATACAAATAGAAATTGAAAATGCATGAAATAATTTCCCATATTGAAAATCAATTAATTGATTGCCAAATATTTCGAATTTCGAGTACGCTCCCAAAATAGATGCACATCAATGAAATGTACTTGTCGATGGATTGATGTGTGCGCAAATTGTTTGTTTTATCGATGAAGATGGATTATGAGCGCTGCCAATGGTCTCTATCTATGTATATTTTATGGCTGGCAGTACGTTAGCTCGATCCGCTCGTAATTACACTTTGCCCATATACAATCGATCAATTACTCATCAATGCCCGGTACCCGGTGCCCGGTCTTTGGTGCCCGGTGCCCAATGCCCGTGTCTTTGCCTGTACATTAATTCGTTAATAAACAATAAAACAGCGCCGTGTTTACCTTATGAGCAATTTTAATGGCCATCCAAAGCATCATTTTTGTACATAAAATGGGCTACTTTAATGGGCCATACACGTACCTATATACTTATAAATATGTATGTATATATATTTATGCGGGCATCTCTCGGCCACACTTGCTTTCCTTTTCAGCTGGGCACATGCCGCGCACTACTTACATTTAATTATTTGATTATTTTTTAATGTGTGTCTGGCCTAATTTAGCCATTGCGTTTCTTTTAATTGCGTGTGGCATTTTTTATTGCATACATTTTGCTGATTAATTTCTTTGGCATAATCCAACCAAAAATCCAAATCATAAATAACAATTTTGTTCTTGATTTTTTTCCGTTTTTTTTTATGTTTGTTGTGATCCCTATTTTGAGCTTCACATAAATATACTACTTTAACATATACCTACATCAATTTCTAAAAATACAAAACAAAACTTTGGCGTCTAAAGTGAAAAGTTTATCTCTCCCTCTCCTTTTTCACCCTCCCTCTCCCTCTCTCTTTCTCATGCTTTCTTTCTCCCTAACGTGTTGTCGTTTATGATTTATTGACATTTAAATGTGCTCTGTATGATGCCCATTTGAAAAGGGGAGCTTAAGGAATTTGGGAGAAGTGCCAGTCAGCAAAATCGTCTTCAGATAAGTGAAGTTGTCCTTCCCGGCGGATAAACAGGATTTAGTACTTTCTGAATTGGAGATGGAAAATAGATATACATATACCAAACCAATTGCTCCAACATAAATAAAACATCTTTTTAAATGAGCTCTAAATGGGAGCAAAGAGAGAGATACCTGAGTGTAGTTGATTAATAATTTCAGTAACTCTACAGAGTTATTAAATTACAAGAAATTTTATTAGGTATTTCCATTATGCTATGTCCACTAACGCTCACTGATCCTTTAATAGTCTCAAATTGCTGCGACTTTTATTAGCACGCAAGCTGCTTGTCTTCGTGTATGTGTGTATGTGTGTCAGCGTGTATGTGTGTGTGTGCTAGTATAATTAATTTTCATTTGGTGCTTACTTTTTAAAAATAATCACAAACCAGTGTGCCACAAGGAATACTTAGCTGAATTACAGACGATGAACGACAGAGAAATACCCGCACCTCGCAATGCCGATAGTAATGCCATAAGCTAATAAAGTATTATAAATATACATATACATATATTTTTTATGGTCCTCAAATTTAAAGTTTGATACTTGCTTTAATGTCAATTAAAAATGTAAGTATGTTTAGCCCTATATGCCCGCAACGCTCCGTTTAGTGACGGTATAATTATGATCCAACAATGAGAAGCTAAATTGCTCAGGGAATGAATTTGGCGCGTTCGCCCCTCATGCTGAAATGCTA